GGTTAGAACAAGTTCTTTTAATTCACTGAAGCTTCTTATCATCCACCTTTTGAAGCCTGCTTCTGTTAATGGAACACACTTGTTCTCCATCAGGCCTTGTTCTGTTGCTGATGATGAACTGTGATCCACTGTAGAGGGAGAGGCGTTCTGATTTTGGGTATTCTCAGCCTTTTTAAGCTGGTTTCTTCCCTTCATTATAGATTTATCCATCTGTGGTCTTTATAATTACCATCTTTATAATTGGGTTTCTGAGAGAACATCCAACTTGTTGATTCCCAGCACTAAAATCTGAGCAACCCACTGCACCGGCTAAAACAGTGGCGTTAAGATTGATGGTGCTTTTCTGGTGCTGCACCAAGAACCGCCACACCAAGGCAGCGGCAAAACCGCCCCGCCGGCCACAAGAGTCGTGCTGGCGACCCATGGGTCTCCTCCGCTGGGAATCTCCTGGTGCGTGAACAACAAAAATTCGTCTGAAAGTGTGGCGTCCTCTCGTTCTCTGCGCTTTCACTGGGAGCTACAATCCCGAGCTGCTAGTGATCAGCCATCTTGGCTCTCTCTCCAATGTAAAAGTTTTCTTAATGTCTGGTGGTCAATGATTGTCCACTCATACTTAAGAGCGATGCATTAAAAATGTTGATTGTAAGCATGGAGATGCTCATTAGTGAGATGTTTCTTTTGGGAGAATTTCAAGTTGTCTCTGTAGGTATTATTATTATTATGACCATTTTCACTGTGATTATCTGCTAATCAAAACAACAGCAACAATAATAACAACAGCAACAATAACAACGACAACTTTCTAACTTCCATACTCAATCTGGAAACAAATATAATCCTGTCTTGAGCTCAGTGAATTCTAGCACAGGCCATTTCTGCTGGATATATATTACACACAATGCAGATAATTTTGTAAAGGAGTTCTCTTGTATCTTGTTTAAATGGAAAATTATATTTTTCATGTTGCTCCCTCCTGATTGTCTTCTAAAATGATGGAATAGAGGTTTGGGGGAATTTCTAACTGTCTAGGTATTTTATTCTGGGCAGATCGGTTTCTTTCATGTTTCTAGGTAGGAGGTAAAAGTCTATGTCCAAGTTTTCTCACACTCAGTGCAGGGAGTTGTCAGCACACAGACATCCCTCTTTTCAGTACAGTACTGAAGTGCTTAGCTGAACCTGGTGTCCCTGTGTCCTGAGTTTCCCAAATTAGCCTTTTTAAAAATATGTATACTGAGCCTCTGGAAGTCTTCCAGGGAGAGGAAGGGGAAGTTATTGAGTAGACTGAGTGGACAGGGAGAAAGATTTGGAAATATAACTACTTTCTTTTCTTTGTATATTTCAACCAGTTCTATCGTGAGCTCCATGGGTACCCCCACATCCAGAGTTTTCTGGTACCCTTTGTTACTAGGCTTTCTGTAGCTCTGTAGTAGGGATTGATCTGTATCTGGTTTTCCCTCATAGTTGGCTTTTTAACATTATTTATTTACCTATTTATAAAATTATTTTCATGTTTCTTACATAATTTGCCACTTGTCCAATGGTCTTTGTTTCCATTAAAAATATATATTATCTAATCTCTGATTCTCTGTCCTTACGGGTTTATGTCTTCTTTAACCTCTGTTCCCTAATTTTAGCAGACAATCCAGAGAAGCAATATAAAAATATAATTTTTCCATTGAAACAGAATGCAAGAAAGCTCCTTTACAAAATTATCTGCACTGTGTGTAACATTTATCCAGCAGAAATGGCCTGTGTTAGAATTCATTGAGCTCAAGATAGGATTGTATTTGTTTCCAGATTGAGTTTAGAAAGTTAGAAAGTTATATTTTAGTTTAGCAGATAATTCCAGCAAGAGCAAATAATGATGACAGTGATAATAATAATAACGGCCATGCCAGCAGTTCATAGCACAATGACTTGAAGCGGGAGAGGCTGGGTTTTCATCAGTCTTTCATTCAAGTTAGCTTTAATACTCTCTCCTAGTATACAGAAAGAAAGAGGGCATTCTTTACATGTGTGTAACATTCTTGAAAGCAGTGTTATATATTCTTGATACATCCATTTCACAAGGTCTCATTATCACAGATGATTTCAGGCACCTGAACAAAGAACATAGAAGGCAAAAACTCAGGTATTTCCTTTATGTCATCAACAACATAAACATATTCGAATTCCAACCGAGATAGATTTTTACTCTACTTTAGATATATTTATATTTAAATATTTTAAATATTGGGCTTGGTGGATATTTATTTCTTTTCAGATGTCTGTGATAATGATCTGCATGTTTCTGGTGGCATGGTCCCCTTATTCCATCGTGTGCTTATGGGCTTCTTTTGGTGACCCAAAGAAGATTCCTCCTGCCATGGCCATCATAGCTCCATTGTTTGCAAAATCTTCTACATTCTACAACCCTTGCATTTATGCGGTTGCTAATAAAAAGTAAGTAATGTCTAAAATGCTTGCAAATACAAAATAAAACTGATACAAAAAGAATGTTAAGACTTTTTGGGAGAAAGTGACAGAAACCCACTTTCATCTAGCATAAAGGTTATTTGGCTTATGTGACTGGAGCAGCATCTAGGAGCTTAAATGCCTAGAGCTCCAGATTTGTAACAGACTCTTCCCAAATAGTGGCAGAGATTATCGTGGGCAACCCAAGACCCAAGTTCTACCAGCAAAGCATCCCCAAATGCCAGCTGCATCACAGATAGCTCTCTGGCAGAAAAGGTCCTGGAATGTCAGTGGTCAGCTTGGTTCAAATGGTTACCCCACCCCAAAATACACGGAATAGTGGTTTCCAAAGAAAAGAGTGATTCTATTACTGGAAAATGGACGAGGCAATATTGGGCTCCCTTGGTGGGTAGTATAAATGTATGTTTACAAGAAAGAAGACATATCATTCAAATACAAGAGAAAAGTTCAGTGCCAACATAAAAGGCTTCGGGATACTAGAGAATTCTTCCCTCCTGTCTTTTTTGGATTTCTCAGCAAAGTGTTCCTTTCCTGCCTTCTCCGTGAAGTTTAGATTCTTTCATTTGTGTTACTGCTGGAAAAATAAAATAAATCTACTGTGCATAAATATTTGGCCAGAAAATTTCAGAAGAAGTTAGGTAATTTTATCCTGGAATGACAAAGTTTGGGAAAGCAGCTTTAGCTACAGGTATGTGAAGAAACATAAAATTTTACAGATCAAATAGACCACAAAAGAAGAATGAAGAACACATTTTAAAATCAGAATCTGCTGGTAGTTCTTTTGGAAAATTCAGTCATTCCCAAGCTCCCTTAATTTCAACTGACCTTTGCTGGGAAGAACAGAGGCATGAAACACACATTGTTAGTTCAAATAAACAACTCATGGCATCTGACATTAGAAACATCCTTTTAAATATATATAAATATTTACTTTTATTAGAGTCTTCAATCTATAGAATCAACAGTGCAAAATTGGCCTTTAATTATACCATATACCTTATATATTTATACAGGTTCTCAACAGGAAATCTGTAGAATCAACAGACAAAACTGGTCTTTATATATACCATATTTTTTATGTATTTATAAAGGTTATCAACAGGAGATATTAAAGTTGGAGGCAGCAATCTATCCAGAGATGTAAATTAACAGTAGTGGCATCAACCATATTTTAAAATGCTTTAGAAGTTTCAAATCATTATGAGTTAATGCCAGATTTTTCTTTTTTTATTGTAGGTTTCGGAGGGCAATGCTTGCCATGTTAAAATGTCAGACTCATCAAACAATGCCTGTGACAAGTATTTTACCGATGGATGTATCTCAAAATCCACTGGCTTCTGGAAGAATCTGAAAGGAGAGAAAAGGACATACTATCAAAACACTGTAGTTTTTGGCAATGCTTTTATTTTAAATATGAGTCAATTTAGATCAAATGCAGACATAGATCGTTGTCCTGTTAGACTGTAAGTTCCTCAGGTGCACTCATGCTTCTTTTGTTTGTGCCTTGGCTGCTGTAGTGCATGCTATGTCCTGATATGTCAACTTATTGCTTATCTCCTTTGATGAATTAGGAATCTGAGGTTAAGGCCCCCTTTCTTTCTCCCTATTATGGCATGCATTACACTGCACTGATGACCTTTAACTTTCCTGGCTCCTCCATTGGAATAGAAGCAGTCACCAATTTAATGTTAGAATAAATTAATAGTAACAATAATAATTAATAATTCTAGATAAATATGAAATGATGTTGGATGGTCCCCGTTAGAATAGAAAGCATTTTTGCATTTCAACATTTTAATATTTAAATCAATTATTAACTTATGTTATTAAACAAAAATAATCAAATGAACATTAAACACGATAGTTTCTAAATAAAATGTTAAGTCAATTCATATATATATATATATATATATATAATATGGCATTATAACCTCTGTGCATATTTTTATGTTTTCTGAAATTTTTATTATCATTTTCCGCATATCTACTCCATGTATTTGCCACCAGAGTTAACATCAATCAGAGTGGAGATTTTTATGTTTGTTCTTTGATGGATCCTTAGCACATGTACTCAGTGCTGTCTGGTATGTAGTAGGCAGTCAATAAATATTTTTTCAATGTTGAATGAATTTGGAGACTCACATATTTGTCATTTTAAATGACTATTAAGCATAGTACAATATACCATTATTTATATAGCAGACAATTAAATTGCTTTCCAATTTTTAGTTTCATGGATGTATCACTGAGAACATTGTAGTATAAATATATTTTTTCTTTGGGAGAAGTTATTCTATTTGAGTGGTTTTTTCAGACTAGAAATACTGGATACAAATACAAAAACACTATTATTGTTGCTAGTTTGCTTTCTGGAAAGATAGAATTAGTTTACACTGGAATTAGTTTACACTGTAATTGCAGTATCTAAGTGAGCTTTTCACTGCATATGCCTGCTACTAGTGCTGTATATATTTAAATTATGAGTTATATACTCAAATTCATTTTATTTCACATTTCTTTAACTGCTAATGAGGCTGTGTCTTTGCATATTGTATTTTTTAATCTTTATTTTGTCATCCTGTAAATTTTCTCTTTAGCATATTAAGTACAATCTAGGCATTAATTTTATGTGTACAGTCCTCTACGTATATGGAAAGGTAAGCTGCTGTAGTAATCTCCTACCTTATCGCCTCACTTTCTGGCTTTCCCACAGCAATCAATACATACAACTGCAAATCAATACAATGTCATAGCTAATCTTTTAAAAATAAAGTTCCAATGCCCAAATTCTTATAAACCCCTCAGCTAGATTTTCAAGGCCCTCTTTAACATACCCCCAAAGGGACTTTTCAGCTTTTTGTCTTTCTTCATGGCTAAATAAAATGTTTAGTGTTCCCAGAGAGTTCTGAGTGCATTGTGTCGCTAGCTCTTTGCTCGTTCTGTCTACTGTAGCTGAACCTTTTTACAGGAAGAGTATAGTGAAATCTGTGCCCAGAGTCCCAAAGCCATTAAAAGGCCAGGACAACATCTGTAATAATGTCTAGGAAAATGGACTCAAGAGTTCCAGTTTGCAAAGCCGTGAACTCATTTCCAGTGATAAGTAAGAAACAACTTTGCCTCAAATATAAAGGAGGTCAACGGTGTACAGTACTTATATTTCAATGCTATATTATCAATTAATTTGCTTATATGATAAAACTAGGAAGACCTGGCTTTGGTTACATAGTTCCCTCTGACCTCTTAGTTTACTAGTTTCTGATGTTTTTATCTTTAAACAGCGTTTCTCTACTCAATTTGGCATGTCTTGCCCCCGTGTAAGTCGTGACATCTGTGAAATTAATAATTCAAAAAATCTCTTGGTAATTTGGCAATCAGAGCTTTACCCATCCTATTTCTCCTTCCTCTTGTGCTCAAAAACTCAGGGCCATCACCTCTCACTGCATCTCCAACACTGGGAAGCCTGAGGGTTGTTCTTAAATCCCTTCATCATCCCTATACCTAATCAATCATTTTTCACACCTGGATGTTTCCTCAAGCTGCATTATCCTATTTCCAGCACAGCAGTCAAGGCTGTAGCCTGACGGCTGCTTTCCTGGACTATAACCACAGACATCCACCCGAAGCCTCCTCCTTTCTTGCTGCTTGCTCTATCTAAACCTTTTCTCCACACAGCCACCAGAGAATTCTTCCTAAAAGGATAAGCTGATGTGCCACTCCCAAGTCTAACTTTTATTGCTCCCATTGCCTATAGGCTGAGCGTAAGCTCTCCATCCAATTGAAGGGTTTCCTTGATAACATCATCCCCACTTACCTCTCCAGCTTTATCTTTTTTAACTTCCTGCCTCAAAATCTTATGCCTGAGCAACAAGAAGTGCTTGCAGTTCTCTGAAGACAATACACTCATTCTCTCTTCTCTCCCTTTGTTTCCACTATTCCCTTTGCTTGCAATGCCCCTTTTTGGATTTTCCCATAATGCATCATCATGTACCCTGTAAATGGCAGCCAGGCACCACCCACCTTAGGAAGTCTTGCTTGACTAACATAAGCTGGATTTGATGTTCTTTTCTTGTGCTTCTTGAGTACTCTGTTGCCCTCTTTATTATGTGAGTTCCTTGTGTGTAATAACTGTCTTGTTCATCTTTGTACCCCTCAGTGCTCAGCAGAGAGTAAGTACTCGGTAAATATTTGACAAACAAATTAATTGCACAGAATCTGGAAACCCGCAGTGTTTTAATTGAGCGCAGTTTGTCAGACTATGGCTCTTATATGAATTCTATTAGTTTTCAACATTTCCTGTAATATACTTATTTTAATAGATTTAATTTTCTTCTAAAAAAGTTTTTAGTTTAAAGAGGATGGTTAGAAGTGGCCACTAAGAAGGTTAAATAACATATATTTATTTCTTAAATCCTTGAGTGACTCTGTGAATTCTCCATTTTATGTGTGTGGAGATAGTTTTATAATTTAATTACATATAATTCATATTTTCTGATAGAGCCTAATATAGCTAAAAGAATTAGAGTTGATCTTCAAATATGGCTTTGATGCAGATAACTTGGAAAACTATTGAACAGAGATAGATGCCTGCATTAAAAATAAATGTGCTGGGATAAACCTTCCACACACTGAGATGATCTGGAAGAGTCCTAGAACACATTCTCACTGGAGAACTTAGTCCTGCCACGAGTAGTTGGTTGAAGCATTTTCCCCATAAAATCTATGTAATGGACTTGTTTACTTTATTTTTAGAGATAACCAGTATGTGGCAACATCAATAACTCTTTTCTAAATCATTCTTTTGTCATGTGCCTCTATTTTTAAAACTAAATTTTGTAAAACTGAATTAGTTATGCATGCTGGCAAAAACCAAATGTAAAATGTTGTATAATGTTGTAACATGTAAATAATCTACAGAATTTTCTAGCATCTGCCAAGATCGAATTATTTTTAACATTAAGTATATTTTTAAGGTGCAGTGGTAAGTATATCCAGAGGAAAGGGATTTAATAGGCATTTCTTTGCAAATCAAGCTGTGGGTAACTATTGAAATTGCTTGTCATGTGTTTGATTTTCATTTTCCTTAGAATGTGTTACTTTGCTGAAACTGTATTCAAAGACTGGGTCAATTGATCTCCTGCAAGATACACTTGAAGGTTAAGTAACTACAGATCTCAGCTAATCCTGTGTAATCTGCTGTTACTAAATGGCTGTTTGCATTCCAGGCACACCAGTTTCTGAATGCTTAGGATTTGGTTACCTTTTGTTTAAATAACCTCTGAAAGGAGCGATGCATCTCTTTGCATGTCTGTGCATTGTCCTTAGCATTTTGGAAGGAGTGGGCTGTTCGTGTCCTTCACAGTGCATGTGTGATTATCACGGCAGAAATGACGGCTTGGGATCAAGGTATGCTCCTCTGCTTGCTACTAAATGTTCTCATTATTTTGACAAAAGGGACCCAAACAAGAGAGCCTGCTTTTGAAAGCAAATGTTTGAGGATCAGAAATCACAGAAGAGAAGGTTTAATGTCCATAAACTTCAACTTAATTGTATTAAGTTGGTCACCTGCTCCTTCACTGTTTTCATTTCGAGCAGTTTGACTCTTAAAGACCTCTCAAGTTATTGGAAATTTCTAAACACATTCTGTGTTCCCAAATTTTTTTTATGCTCATGTTTGCAAAATGTTGCTTGAGGTCAAACCATTTAAAGGTGTGTGGCCAGTTCAGCCCTTGATTATAGGAAGCCTAAGAGGGCAGGGCTGAACAGGAGCTGTGGGACATGCCCAGATCCTTTGCTTTCGGGGCTCTCCACTTCCTTTGAGGATTATTTGGCAGGAAGGAAGATCTCAAGTGTAAACTCAGAGAGTTTAATAGAATATTTCATTTTAAGCTGATTGAATTTACAAAGTAAAGAAGATTGAAAAAAAAAATACTGTCTGTTGCAGACACTGAAGGATCCTCACAGAAGTTATTCAATCTCTAGGTTATTTTAGCATCTGCTTGTGTAGTGAGAATAGTTATTTGCTTATAAGGTGCATGAGGCCTTTTAGATATGTGAAATGCAAAACAGAACTCTTGCTAGCTAAACATGGTAGAACTTGAATTTTTTTTTGAGAGGGCATTTAATAACAAAATCAGACTATTTGTGACTTGATTGAAGTAAATGGTGAGTCTCAGAGAAAATAATTTGTGAAAAGAATTGCCCAATTTATGTCTTATAACTTTAAACAAATAAATAATAATAACTAAGACATATTTGTTAAAAGCTTATTTTGTTATTGTATAAACTTTACTTAACCAATTCTTGGTATTTTTTGAGATATTCACTGGGTGGTTACAGACAATAAAGAGAATGTAGCAAATTAAAGACCTGCTTGTCCAGGGGTGTTCAGCAGTGAAGATCAGGCCAGGTTACTTTTGAGAAACAATCACAGAAATGTTTCCTTCTCTGTGGTGACCCCATTATTGATGGATTTTATAAAAATTATAGAATATTAGCCCTGGTAAGGAATAATCTAGTTCAACCCCTTGTCAGTTTATACGTGAAGAAACTAAACTGTACGGAGACCAAGTGACTTGTCCTAGGTTATATAATTGTGTTGATGTAGTAGCTAAGTTGGTAAAGATGCTAGATCTTTTTGTGTACACACTGGGCTTTCTTCTATGATAGAATGCTGAAATGCTTTCTTAATGAGTAGAAACTGGTATAAAGTAGCACTGAAATCTGTGATACAAAATAGAGATGAAAAGTAAGAGATATCCCTAGAGAATTTCAAAGATTCCATGAGGTCTTCTCCTGAAGTTATAGAAAGGAGATAACAAATTGCAGCTTTATGCTGCTTACATTTGTATACATTATGAGCAGCTTTTCAGATCCACCGATTTAATGTGATTTTCACTAACAGGTGAAATTTTTTTCACCCTTTTTATTGCAATTATGTACTGAATTTATAGTGTGCTACAATTTGTATGATATTTTGCAAAACTTCTTATTGTTCATTTTTAGTAATTCGGATGAGTGTATCATAGGAAATAAATAGGTATTTTCCAGGCTAAAACGAATCTAAATTCTCAGATTCCTCATACTTTTAATTTACACATGGGACAGTGTTGTTTTTCTTTTTTCTTTCTTT